CACACACACACACACACACACACACACACACACACACACACACACACACGAAGGACAGAAATACCCCAGACTGTGGGAGATGTTTTGACTCACACGCATGCTTTCATGTCTGCAGATCATGTCAAGCGAATTAGCGGCTCTTTGTAATTATAGTGGTCAGCATGACCAAAAGGAAGTGAGACACTCGCAACACGTGTGGCCAGCTGAGCTCAGGGTCAGGTTTGTTCAACAGTGTAGTCTACTTCTCTGTCTTCTTACAGTATGAACTCTCTTTTTTGAGAATGTAGGGTTTCTACTTTGAATAAAAACACACACAAATAAAGTAAGACATTGTTTCAAGTTTTGGCATCTGCTGCATGTCCCACAAACCAGCATCTACCTAATTGGCTGAGAGTTTGGTCAGTCAACTTTCTGAATAAACCTTTCTGAAAATTTCTCTTCATTATATCACCCACACCGTTTTACACAAGTCTGACCCAAACTTGTGCTTCAAGTTGTGAGAAAATGTTGTCGGAGGTTCTGCCCAACTAGTTCTGTCCTTGGAATGGGAGTTATAAGCTGATTTGTAAGCCTGATACCACAGGGCCACACATGACGGCTTGAAGCCCCAAGAGAGCTGGCAACATCAAGGTCCTTAAAGACGAGCCATGAAAAGTGGGACTTCTGACCAAATTGGATGTCTGCAGAGGCCCAAATAGTGAACAAACTGAGAAGTGAGTGCTGGAATACCAGGTGAGGGTTGGAAAGTTCTGAATTTGAGTGAGATTATACACACAGCTCTCACATGGACACTATGAGGCTCTGTTCAAATGAGCCCTGAAGCAGGCAGGGGTCCTGTATAATAATGGAAGTAGGGTAATGATTTGAGGACTGGTACATATTAGGGGATATTAAAAGAGCCATTTTAATCACTCAAGCTGCAAACCGGACCTCTCAGTGGTGGGGATAATAGCTGAAATGGATATGTTTCATTTGGCACTGATGGAGATGATAAATAGACTTCTCTGAAAATCATTCCCAGGCACTTAGTTACACTGTGACACGGGCATTTTAGCATCTTTTCAAAACAGTTTTTATGATTAAAAATAGGATTTTAAAAAGTAGGAATTTGGTTAGGCTTTTCAACTGAACTGGAGCGATTCTTTTAAACCAGATTTAGGCCTCGAGCCACCTGACCTGCTTTCCCTGCCAAACCACAGCAGCAACAGAATGCCGTGAGCTCAACAACTCCTGGGTCAGAAGTTACAGTAATGATGTAGTCAGGGTTTCAGCTTCTCACCACGGCAGCAGAAGTAGCTGGAAATGGTAGGGTTAGCAAGTGTGCACCAATGCCAAGAGATGAACCACATTGTGGGTGGGCCACCTGCAACCTGCAGGGCAATTCCTGCTATGTTTTAACAGGAACACATAAATGGTACTGTAGTATAAAGTGAGGAATGAGAAGGGGGGAGTGCAACTCTGAATAGAAGACCACGAGAAGTGATTTTCTGTTAAGTCATCCAACTTTTCTTTAACAAAAATGCTGCTGGAATATTTTCAGTGCTGGCAGACACCACAAAGAAGATCTGAAAGAATTTATGGCACCCTATGAGTTAAGCTCACAACTGTATTGTGGAGCCATGGTAAGTTTGTTTTGCAGCCACACTGTATTCCAAAGAATCTCCTCATCAAGCTCAGACTACAGAAAGTGGAAATGGAGCAGTGAGAAAGGCGGCCATCAATTTAGTTCACTAATTATTATAATTAGTTTTCACTCTTGTTATTAGTGTGATGCTTATTTTGTTTACACTGTTTTAGTGAAGACTAAGAGCAATGATTTCATTGGTTGGGGCGCAGCTGTGGACTCTAAACTTTATATTTTTGGGTAATGGACAATACAGTGCTTTGTTTTGTTTCTGTCCCCACCTTCAGCTGTTCCCACCATATAGAAGCACCAGACTGAAGTGACCTTGGTCATCTAATGAAGTTTTCATTCAATTGCAGTATATTGTTATATTGAAGTTTTAAAATTATGTAACCCAGTGGTTAATAATAAATGGTTCAATTTTTTACTCACACCTACTGTTGTTAACTATTGTTCAATTTTACTTGATCAAGATTACTCTACGTAAACGTAATAAAAGTATGTGTGATTTGCGCTGATTTTGTATTCGGTCAATATAGATATCAGTTAATATTCAAGGCTGCAATATTGGTATTATATTAGAAGTGAAAAGCTGTATCGGGACACCCCTAACTGAAGCTGTAACATTGCTACCCACCTCTATCCAAACCAGCACTAATTATTCTTTTTGTTTTCCTCTGGCTTCATAAAATAACTGCTGTCATTTGCTCTCTCCTCACGAAGTTTACAAAATTAATGTAGCATGTAAAATACGACTTTCGGAGAACCCAAGATTCGGCACGATGCCCGAAAGAAGTCGTCAAAAAACTGAAGACGCTCTTCTAGCTAAATGCCTGTTCACGGGGCTCTCGTGCTACAGAGGCTATGGCTACGTTCACACTGCAGGTCTTAATGCTCAGTTCCGATTTTTTGAAAAAATCCGATCTTTTTGTGTGAACATTCACGTTACATTTTAAATGTGACCTGTATCAGACCCCTGTGTGAACGCTACACAGCACTGATGTGACACGCATGCGCAGTGAAAGACCTGACGTCTCATCAGCCGGCTTGTTTGTTTACAGAGCTAGCATGGATGCTACATTTTTGCACATCGAATCTGAAGTTGTTGTTTAATCAGAGCCGATTAAATAATTATCTGACATGCTTCTTTAGTTCAGTGTTTATATCTGAACCTGCCTCTGACCGGGATGCTGCAGTGAAGCTTTTTTTTTTAAAGAAACTACGAGCTGGAAAAAAGTATCGACCGAGTAGCTAACTTTAGGATCGATACTCTCCGCGACCCAGGCTGGACCACTATTATCATACTATCTACGTGGAAAATGAAAAGTAAAAAGATGAAGCAACTGGACTTGTGTTTTGGAGCTGTAAACACATGGAGCTACAGATTTAAACAGCGAGACTTGAGGTTAGTGTCTTATCGATCCTTCACCCCTCCTCCTGATGAAAAAGTCAGATGAATGTGACATGAGCGTTCACACTGCAGTCACTTTGAAAACATCAGATATATATCCGATTTAAAACCACATACTGAAACGGCCTGGGTCGGATTTGAAAAAATTGGATTTGTCTCGTTCAGACTGTCATAAAAAATCAGATATGAGTCAGATGGGTCAAAAAAATCGGATTTGGGTCAGATTTGCCTGCAGTGTGAACGTAGCCATAGTCATAAAAAATCAGATATGAGTCAGATGGGTCAAAAAAATCGGATTTGGGTCGGATTTGCCTGCAGTGTGAACGCAGCCTAAGAGACCATGCCCCTGTCAAATACCTGACATGACAGTTCACTCCTTTCTATGCGAAGAAGTAGAAAAGATGGAGATGCAACAAAATCAAGCAGGGAAATGAAAATTATGAACTTCATTTTAATTTATCGGCCAATTAATTGATTTATTGCTTATTGCGATAGCCCTTGTTGGGTCTGGAAATATTTGTCACGCTGACGTGCAGGCAGACAAACTAATTCAGTGTTGTTCCTTCAATTAGCGAGTAAAATATCTGCAATTAATCTAAACTGTTGTTTGCATTTAAATGCTGCAGCTCAAAACCTAAAACATCTGATCAAAGACACTCCTAATACAAGAAAACCCCTCTTTAGGTCATCCTTTTACAAAAATAAAACTATCCTAGACAGGAAGTTAACAGGAAAGTCAAACATGTAGAGACAACCCAGGAGTAACACCAGTGATGTGTCAGGTCTAACCACTGAAAGTAGAAAAGTTAGTCAAGTTAAAACATTACCAACCAAAAGGTCAAGACAATTCACAGAAGTTAGGTCATTTCTTGGAGCCGCTCTTACTACCTTCTGAATTTCCAGAACTTTATCATTAATGGCCTTGCATCGGCGTGCATTTCTGGCCTCCTCTGGTGTCGGTTTTGGCTCCAAGCTGGCAGCCGCAGCCTCCTCTGACTCCACTGAAGAGGCGGGCGGTTTTTCCTGGCAGGCCAAAGTTTAAGGGTTAGAGCTGAGGTCACCAGGTTTAGGAACTGGCTCCGATTTCAAAGTGATTTAACTAGAGACAACTCTGCTTTGTTACAGGTGCCGAGTTCCTGTTTGCATGTGTGTCTCATTATGCATGCTGCATGCCAACAGTAAACAGACATCAGTGCCATATGAACTTTAACTTTCTGATTATAAATGCCTGACAGCAGAGGACCAACAAAAAGAGCCAGAAACCCTGTTTTTGAACATAAGAGAAAGCAAAGAATTATGGGACTTTGCGTCCTTTGAAAAGTCAATATTATCAACAGTAATGTTTGGAATGCTATAGAAAGAGATCAAAAAATAAAAGTGAAATAAACCGCCAGCATATTATACTTTGGCTCAGTACAAATAAAATAAAATAAAATAAAAAACTTTGGCTCAGTAATGTTATTATTGCCAAGTTAAAGTGCCTAAAGAGCAAGGCTTTAACATTATAATTTGCTCTTTGCAGATTAAATTGGCATTAACAACACCTAATGGTATGGTACAAGTACTTTTTAATCCATTGAATTAATGAGCTAAAAATGTAAAGCTTTATTTAGAAACAAATTGCATACCATAAATGCTACTGCTAATTGTGTTTTAAATATTTCAAAAACAATGATATGAACACATATACAGTATATAAAAAAGCAACTTTTACCTGTGAAGGTATTGAACTATGAGGAGAGCCTTCAGCAGAGCTGCTAGGAGTTTGGTTCTTCACTATGTTGGTCTTTTCTGTGGAATCTGTACCAAGAAAGCACAGCAAACAAAAAAGAACATAAACATTAAAAAAATGGTAAATACAAAGTTCTGACAAAAGTTAGACAACTACAAAAGACAAGCGAAAGCTGATCCAAAGTTTTTGAGGGCAGTAAAAACATTCTTTTAATTAACTTTCCTTTGTATTAAAACAGAGCCTGTGGCAACAACTTGGTGGGTCGTGGTTTGTAACACATGTCACATTAACTGCAGTGTTCTTGCCCAAATCTGGACTGGGCTTTTTATTATATTTTCTTCTTATATGTTTTTTAAAGACTTATTACTGAGTTAACTGATAATGTGTGAAACAACTATGAAGAACTACGAAGTTAATCTTTGAATAATTGTGAAACCATGGTATTATGTGACATCTAAAGAAAAGTAAAAATCCCTGTCATCTGTTATTTGTTACAGTCCACTGTTGGAACCTCTCATAAAAAAAAAAATCAAAAAATTAAAAAAATAAAGAAACGGCTGCTCTGTACAGCTGTGCCTAAATTAAAATGAGGTCTGCATTTAGCCAAAAGCCTTCTAGAGTTAAAAAACAAACAAATAAACAAACAAAAAAAAGTTGCTTGCATGATGATTATTTCCTTTTCTTTGCAACTCCAAAAACATTTTATGTGATTAGTGCAATCTGAGATAACACAGAGTTCTTCATACTATGGTTGGTCCATAAACAGATCTTCAAAAGGACCAAATTTACTAAAAATAATAATTGCATACACATACAGACATGTCCTGTAAGGATGGTTACAGTTGATCTTTCACACATGAAGTTGGGGTAAAATAAAAGCATGCCATCATCCAGATCAACTTAAAATGACGGTTGTTCTAAAAGGATCAACAGCTGATAATCTTAATTGTATTTGTGTCTTTATTCTTTGTAATCATCATTATTGCCTAGAGCTCATTCTCTGAAGTTTGGAGACAAAGTTAAACAGTGAACAAACAACAAAACCTGTTTCTTTAGCAAAAGTAATCACATCAACCACAGATCTGTCTGAAAAATCCAGACATGCCTTTCCCCACCAGCCATTTCCAGCTTGTCCTGGGGGACCTCGAGGCGTTCCCAGGCCAGAGAGTATACATAATCCTCTAACGTACCCAGAACACCTCTAATGGGAGGCAACCAGGAGGCATCCTAAAAGATGCCCAAATTGCCCCGACTCCTTTCGATGTGGAGGAGCACCGGCTCTACTCTGAGCTCCCCACAGATGGCGGAGCTCCTCACCCCATCTCTAAGGCTGAGCCCGATCACCCTGCAAATGAAGCTCACTTTGGCCACCTGTATCTGGGATCTCGTTTTTTTCGGTCAAGATCCATGCCATGTCATGACCGTAAGTGAGGGTTGGAATGTAGACAGACCAGTAAATTCAAAGCTTTGCCTTTCGACTCAGCTTTCTTCACCACATCTGACCAAAGAAATGCCCTCATTACTGAGGACGAGGCCTCAGTTCATTGATATCAATATCTGGGTGTCTTGTTTACAAGAGATGTGTGGAAAGCCAAAAGAGTAAGAACTTGCACACTTTGAAATGCCCTCTGACATTTACGGTAGTTGACATTATTTCACATGTCACCAAGCAAGTAGTAAGCAGGTGAAGTGGGAAAAGGTAAGAAATTTACATTTCATAACTCAAAACTACAATGTGAGAATAAAAACAATGCGATTTGTATTTCTGATTAGAATATCTGAATGGAAGCAGGAGACACACTGCTGCTTTGAAAGAATGGTTCCACAAAACTGTAATTACACACAGTACATGGCAAATATTCAGTTTTTAATTTTAGAAAGAAAAAATACATATTTTACTTCTTTCCTGCCAGGTCACCACCCATTTGGAAATTGGAGAAAAATATATCATTTGATTAAGACTCAAATAATCCACAGAGGAAAATTATGTTGCAGCAAAAAATAGACAAAAAAAAGGGAAAATCAGATGACAAATAAGGGAAATATTTGAAATAAAGCAAAGAGAAAGGTATTTCAGTTCTCAGCATATTTTTGTACATGCTTAGCTTCATATCTGAGAAAGAAAGTTTCTTGAAAGAGAGGCAAAGACAAATGTCAAAAGGTTTGGAGGTAATGTGGACAAAATGTCACAGCAAAGAGTAAAATATTCAAAGTAAGATGATACTTTGTTCTAAAAATTAAAAACACTAATAAAAGGAAGCATAACATCAAAAGATATAAAAAATACAAGACCAAGGTCACAAATATTGCTGCCCCCTTAAAGTAAGTTTGTAGTAATGAATCTTTTCATCAAAGTTCTAAAGTTTAATGAAACTTTAAATAAAATGAAGTGAAACTACAGAGCCAGAGTGATTCTGCAGACGTTGTTAAAGCTAGTATATAATTAAACACTTTCTCACCGAACAAAAGGTCAGGTTCTGAATCCAAAGCCAAACCACCCCAATAAACCAAGGGTATCCTTTTTCCCAGCCCCGAAAAAGGCTTTTTTGTAGTGTTTTGTGTAATTAACATCTGAACATGTCACAGCCCATCCTGACCCCGCACATTACACACCTCCACAGAAAACAGACGCTTCACCTGGAGCGGCTTCACTCCTTTAAATGTGCATATACTTTTCAAAAACAAGAAACTATGTTTTAATCTTGTCATGACAGAGTGTTTAAAAACTTTGAACAAATATTTTTTTAATAAAAGGCAAACTATAAATTCTAAAAGGTCTCTCTAATATGTTGTTGCTTTTAATTTCCTTGTTAAAGCTGAAGCCAATCCCAAAGTGTTCGATGGTTCAAAGTGACAATTTGTTATGAGATGTCATAAAAGCCGTTGGTCACCGGGTCAGACGGTCAAATTCATTAGTGTCGGGTCTGTGCACGGATTTAAAATCAAAGAGGAAAAACAGAGGAGAGTTCATGAGGAGTTCATTCAAGGTTAACACAAGTTTGACTTTCTCTTTGAAAATTTGCTTGGAAGTAAATAGAAAATAAAAGATGAAGTCAAGCGAGTAATCTTTAAGAGACCTTAAAAAAAACAATGTAATCAATACCACAGCAGAGCAACCTAATCTGACCCGTGAGTTACGGTGTTACATGAATGTTCTACATTGTGCCTGGGTCTCGAACCAATCAGAGTTTAAGTGTGTAGGTGAATCTTTATTAAATCAATTTATTAAAACCACTTGAACCACAGATTAACACTTACGCTTCTGCTGCTGCTGGTAGGTGTAGCTTTTGTCTTTGTCTGGAGAAAAACTCCTGTTGCTGGAGTTTGACCTAGAACTAGGTGGTGTCTGGGCTTCCCTTGTTGAAGGAGAACGGTCCCGTGTGATCCTTAAAGACTTCGAGGTTGTGTAGTCTTCACGGTTCTCCCTACAATAATAATAATAATAATAATAATAATAATAATAATAATAATAATAATAATAATAATAATAATAATAATACAATAAATACAAAGCAAATAGTGCAATAAATCTCTGTACAGCAAAGCAATGTGGTGAATGTTGGAAACAATTAATAAATATTTGAACATATATCTATTGGTGTCAAGTAATATGTTTTTATGGGTGCACCGATAGTGGTTCTGACCAATCACAGATTACCGATCTTTAAAACATCTAATCTGCAAATTCCATTTTTTTTAAAACAACTGACACTGTCAGCTGAGCATAGGGGGTAGTGACTGATTTTTAGACCTTTTTGGAGGTAGATGAGAACCTGATCTTTTCCACCTATCTTATTTAAGTATCGTCCAAGCTCCCAAAATTAAAGAAATTGGTGCCAATTTATAGGTGCACCCGTAGTATTTTTTTATACATCATTTAATCATAAAAATAATTTTGCAAATTGACTCCATGAGATGAATAAATGAATAAAGCCATTCTCCACAAATAGAGAAACCGAGGAACAGTGGGGAACCTTCCCAGTAACAATTGAAATTACTCTTAAAGCATATATATTGACGACTCATCCAGAAGGAACCAAAAGGACTCTGAGCAACATTCTAAAACCCTACAGACTGCATGTAAGGCCTGACACCAACCTTGAAGGGCCTGAACCTCGACTCTTCTTTCGGACAGGATGGCCTCTGTTCCTGTTTCTGAAAGGACAAAAAAAAAGATTTAGAAAAATCTTCATCATAAAAGAGTTTTACAGAAATGCAGCAATTATTGTTATACAAGTGTCCTTAATTCTAATTTTACATGATCAGGATCACTAAAAAAATTTGTCCAGAGGCCAAATTTCTACTGAGCTGACTTGCTGGGGGCTGGCCTGTGATGCATTAAATACATTCATAATATTTTTATTGCTTGGGAATAAGCCTAAAATTAGGTTATTCTCTGGGTGAAAATGTACTTCTTCTCTATCAAACAGGGTTTAAACATGTCATGATCTGTGAATTTTGAATGTTTTGATTCTTTATGTTTCAGATCAAGTTCCTTCATTATCTTGTTTTTCTTTTTGGGGATTTTGTTTTTACCTGAGTTTAGATCTTATTTAGTCTATTTCTTGTGTTTTGAGTTTCTGTTACTTGTGTTTGAGTCAGTTAAGATTTTTATCCTGTTTGTGTTTTTGTACTTCTTTGTTAGGTTTATTTTGTAGTATGCTTGTGTAAACCTTGTTTAGTTCAGTGTTCTTCTGTCATTTCTAATTTACACTCAGTCAGCTTCATCAGTGTTTGTTCCAGTCAGACTGCCACCCTCACCTGTTCCCAATCTGCAATCACCCGGGTGCTTTTACTTTCAACTCAGTTCAAAACAGTTCTTTGTGCATGTCCCTCACTCTAGACTAATTCTTACTAAAGATGTTGCTGCATCAAAGCTGTAGAACACATTTCTATTTTGACTAACTTATATTTGAACCTTCATTGTGATTTTGTACTAAAAGACAAAAAATGTGGAGATCGGGTCATTCAGGAACGCTTCTTAAAGCAGCTAAAAGCTTGGAACATAGCTCGTCTGGTAGTTGACAAGACATAATCAGTAATTAAAATAGATTTTTCCAGTGACAAACCAATCTGAAATTAAAACTTATAAACACTGTGTCCTCAGAGCTAAAGATAAGAAAGACACGTTAACACACCAAAACACACCCAAGTCCAAATGAGCAAATACAAAATTAGGCAAAACAGATTTTAGAGTTCGTTTGAAACTTAAATTTCAGATGTGTTTGTGAAAGTCTGACTGAAAAAGGAGTGGTCCAGCTGTTTTTCCTCAGAGCGGGGCTTGGGCAGGGGATGTGTCTAGCTAAGTGAATAGACACTAGTGGCCTTTGTCCCATTCCTCAGCCTCAGGGAAAGAGGAGCCTAAGCTCAGAGGATGTTGGTGTATAAAAATAGCAAGAAAAAAATTAAAAGGGTGGTGATGTAGCTGTTATAACTGCTGGATTTGACAACACTTACAGAGGCTTCAATTTTAATCAATAACTTTTTATTATTAAGTAAAACATTTTTTGTTTTTCTTTAATGAAACACGGACAGCAGCCATTTGTAACAGTGTGTTACATTTCTCACTCTCAGGTGAATATCAAGACAGAATATTACAAATAATTAATTCCTCATTTAAAAAGGCATACAACAATATTACATGGAAGAGAAAAGAAACAAACCTTAAGCAGGTGTTTTAAATAACACTGTCTCCACTTAGAGGTCAGATTGCTGAATTACACCATAAATTACTATGCATGCATAAACATATATATATATATATATATATATAATAATTCATTAATTTGTGTGAAATAAGTATTTGATCATCTATCAACCAGTAAGAATTTTGGCTCTCACAGACATGTTAGTTCTTCTTTAAGAAGCCCTCCTGTTCTCCACTCATTACCTGTATTAACTGCACCTGTTTGAACTCGTTACCTGTATAAAAGACACCTGTCCACACACTCAATCAGACTCCAGCATCTCCACAATGCCCAAAACCAGAGAGCTGTGTAAGAACATCAGGGATAAAATTGTAGACCTGCACAAGGCTGGGATGGGCTACAGGACAATAGGCAAGCAGCTTGGTGAGAAGGCAACAACAGTTGGTGCAGTTATTAGAAAATGGAAGAAATACAAAATAACGGAAAATCTCCCTCGGTCTGGGGCGCCATGCAAGATCTCACCTCGTGGAGCATCATTGTTCTTGAGGAAGGTGAGGAATGAGCCCAGAACTACACGGCAGGACCTGGTCTAGGGCTGTGTATTGGCAAGAATTTGGCGATACGATACATATCATGACAGAGGGGTCACGATACGATATATCCCAATATATTGTGATATTATAAGCAAGGCGATATATCGCGATATATTGCGATTTTTTTTTGTCCAAAAATTCTATTAAATAAAAACCTCTTACAGGGGAAAAAAATGAAAAACCAAAATTCATTGTCTCAGAAAATTCTAATATTACAGAGACATACATTTGATACATTTAGCTGTGTTCTGCTTTGTATGTATTTTATTTTGTTTCATATTTCTCATTTCATCCATGTTTTCAATTATTAGACTAAATTTGACAATAAATACAGTAGTTTGAAAATATATTTTTTGCAGCTTTTAGTTTTTAATATTAATTTACAATAAGGTCACCCAACACTTAATAGCCTCTACCTCAAGAGGTAGAGTAGCCAAATGGCTGGCTCACTGCTGCCAACTAGTGGTCAGAGGCTGAACTACAACATTAAAATGAATGGCTGGCAGGAAAGTTGACATTTTAAACCAGGGGTGCCCAAATATTTTCCTTGAGAGGGCCAAAATGAAAATCTATCCAGGGCTGTGGGCCAAATGCAGTAATATAATACATGAAATACGAATACTTTTAAGGTAAAGTCCTTTATTTTTTAGCGATTGAGCTATGCAATGGCCCTCTTGTTTAAGTCTGTGCGCTTGGATAAAGTCTGCCATAGCAAAGGCTCATGGGACATATCATAAATTGATAAAATATGAGTTTTGTGGCCTTATAAAGTGTGCAAATCTACACGTGGGGTTAAATCTGATCTAAATATTTATTGTTGTCATTTCATGTTTCATGTTTAATCCTAATAAATCAAAGCTAAAGTCAACAGCATGAATGAAAACTGCCTTCACTACAGCCCTTTTATATAGTCATTTGACCAATGGAAATATTGTGTTTCTACATAGAATAACAGGTTACAACCTTTTAACTTTGGCAACTGTTGGTGGGCCGAATCAAATGGCTTGGCGGGCCAAATTTGGCCCGCGGGCCCCACTTTGGGCTCCTCTGTTTTAAACCTTAATAAAAAAATCGATACAGGGCTTTAGAATATCGATACAGTATCGGGAAATGAAATATCGCAATATTTCAGTGTATCGATATTTTCTTACACCCCTAACCTGGTCAATGACCTGAATAGAGCTGGGACCACAGTCTCAAAGAAAACAATTAGTAACACTCTACGCCGTCAAGGATTAAAATCCTGCAGTGCACGCAAGGTGCCCTTCCTCAAGCCAACGCATGTCAAAGCCCGTCTGATGTTTGCAAAAGACCATCTGAATGATCCAGAGGAGGAATGGGAGAAGGTCATGTGGTCTGATGAGACAAAAATAGAACTTTTTGGTTTAAACTCCACTCGTCATGTTTGGAGGAAGAAGAATGAGTACAACCCCAAGAACACCATCCCAACCGTGAAGCATGGCGGTGGAAACATCATTCTTTGGGAATGCTTTTCTGCAAAGAGGACAGGACGACTGCACCATATTGTGGGAAGGATGGATGGGGCCATGTATGGTGAGATTTTGGCCAACAACCTCCTTCCCTCAGTAAGAGCACTGAAGATGGGTCGTGGCTGGGTCTTCCAGCATGATAACAACCCAAAACACACAGCCAGGGCAACTAAAGAGTGGCTCCGTAGGAAACATCTTAAGGTCCTGGAGTGGTCTAGCCAGTCTCCAGACCTGAATCCAATAGAAAATCTTTGGAGGGAGCTTAAAGTCCGTGTGGCCCAGCGACAGCCCCGAAACCTGAAGGCTCTGGAGGAGATCTGTATGGAGGAGTGGGCCAAAACCCCTGCTGCAGTGTGTGCAAACCTGTTCAAGAACTACAGGAAATGTCTGATCTGTGTAATTGTAAACAAAGGTTTCTGTACCAAATATTAAGTTTCATTTTTCTGGTGTATCAAATACTTATTTCACACAATAAAATGGAAATTTTATTTTGTAATGCTGCGTTCACACCGAACACGATTTCAGCGTCAAAATTGCATCCAATGCTTCAAGTTGGACGCTCGTGCACTTTGAGGTCAGACATGTCAAAATTGCTCTTGAAGTGCTTGACGCGCATCCAGCACGTCGAGAGCCTCCCCGCCCCTCCCTCCTCTGTCCTAGTAGGGGTCTCTGCGGACAAGTGGGTGTGTCACAAGGAAAGGCGATTCTAAAGTGACACACCTGATTTGAAGGACTTTGTTAAAAGGGACACACCTGACTGGACAAGCAAAAAAGGGGCAATACTGTATGGCACCACCTGATTGGATAAGAACAAAAGGGGCGTTACTGTACGGCACCACTTTTTTTGTAGACCCCAACTTGGGTCACATTTCTCCTGGTTAACCTTAGTGTTGGGATCAGGGTCAGGCTGTAAAGAGATCAAGCAGGGTCTTAAGGATACCGTCATGTAGGCCTCGTAGCCCACAGTGTTTATGCTTTTGACATGCCCACTTTGATTCCGCAGATAACCCCTTCTCCCTCTGTCGGCCTCTTTTTAATGTTGGACGAAATATAGGAAGTGGCTTTGCTTTATTTACAGAGAGCAAGAGCATGTCACACTCATCAGATAATTAATTCATAATTAATTCACCAGATAATTCAGAAACGTTTTGAGTTTGGTGAGTTTCATCACCCAGGACCTGCGAGAGAGGCTTGCGGCTCGCTTTCACAACTATTTTTCAGTCCAGTCCGACGAGCCGCTGACCTGCATTGGTGTGGATATCTCCTGTCAGGACACCGACTACCGGCACTCAATTTCAGCTAAAGAGCTCCTCTCCATCTGTCTCAGGTTATTGGACATCATTCAGGAAACTGTCCCGTCGGGAAATCTGTCACTACGTCACACAGTGGAGTCTCTCTGATTGGTTGACGCGGCGCGTCGAGCTGCAAAAGTTCAGATTTTCCAGCTTCATCTATTTGCATGTCAAGCGCGTCAAACGCTCAAAATCGTTCAAATCGCGCTTGACGCGCCGCAGCACGTCCCAACTCTGCTTGATGCGCGTCCACCATAGACTTTGCATGTAAACCTGATGCTCCTGACGCTGAAATCGCGTTTGGTGTGAACGCACCATAAATCACACGAGGGAGATATATAAATTTATTTCATTAAATTCCACTTCAGCCCAGCTGAGTTCTGCCCCACGCCTCTTTTAGTTACTTGCTTCATTTCTGAATACTCACATCTGAGCAGGAAGTGGCCGGCTCCAGCTGTGATTTCTGAATGATCAGAGAGAGGATAAAGGTGGACTGGACAGTGCGACCATTTCACGGAACTGTTTTAGGAATAATTTGGTTGTATCGATTGAACAACTTCAGAAGTGACCCACACACGCCAACATAGGTAGCATCCATTTTTACAATTTAGGCCTTCTTCTGCATATGTGGGTCACTTCAGCGCTATGGACTGTACACACACTAGCCTGATGGAGGTCACATTTAATTTATTAAGTAAACAAACATGCAGGAGTCACATCTGACAAAAAAAATTGGAATGGGGCATTAAGACCTGCAGTGTGAATGTAGCCTAATAGTCTGAAAACAGCACACACTGATAACAGGCACTACATTACCTTGAACTTAAATGATTCCTCAGATCATCTTGACCATAATACTTTTGAGAGTATGAGCCTTCCTGCAAACAAATAAATATAATGAAAAGTCACAATATTCTAATACCAATATAATTGTTTTTTTTGTTTTGTTTTGTTTTTCTTGGTATAACTGGAAACAAAAAATCCAACAGCCTTTATGTTCACTTAGTCATGTTTCAGTAAGATCTGTTTTCAAATCTGTCAAGTAAAACAGACCTCCGCTTGTAATTCATGCACACAAGGTCGACTTACATTTCGATTTGGTGGGGAATTTCGGCGAAAACTGTCATAGTCGGGATTTTCGTCAAAGTACTGGCCATCATTAGGCTGAAAATAGTCTTCTGCGTAATATCCTCTGGCATTTGATTGATATCTAGGTTCACCGTAGTACGGGTCACCATCATATCCTCTCTCATATTCTGGCCCCTGCCATGACGTGGGGTTCCTCTTCTCCACAATATTTACGACCCGATGAACTGTCACCTGAAATAACAAAACATCAGATTTTTTTTATTATAATTACTTAATTGCACTTGTCTTAGCAAAAACTGAAGAGTGACTCGCTGTTCTGTTCTATTTTTTAACCAGTTTTGTTTCGACTGCAGGATCCACAACCAAAACATATTAATGTGTAGAATTTACCCTTGAAAATAGCATTGATGGGGTACTTTTAAAACTATCTGCAACATAAGCGTGGTGAGGGAGCACCAAACGATCCTGACTGGTGTGTGTATCCCCAGCATTTCCAACAACAATCTGTTAGAAATGTACTTTCAAAAGAAGAGAGGCAACTTTGTCCCCTTCTGCTCTTTCTTTTAGTTTACCAAAGACAATGTTCTGTTTGTTTGAATGAACTGGTACAGGAACCAGCCTAACAGGAAAGCTGGTCCTATTCTGATTTCAACTTCTGGGTTCTGGTCAGGGGTCTAGGTAAACAGTCTGTGGCGAGATTGGGGTTCCGTCACAGCAACCTTTTTTTAAACTTTTTTACTAATTTTTTACTATTTGCTGGCATGAAAATTGTGTGATCATGTGTATGTCTCTGTGTTTGAATGTGTCTGTATTTGTTTGTCTTGTTAGCAAAATATCTCATGAAGCGCTGGCTGAATTTGAATACAACTGTCCCAAAATAACCACTGAATGTACACCTACACTGCTTAACTTTTAGAATTAAGATGGCCATCATGGCTAATCAACAGACACAACAATAACAGTCAATTTGGCATCGTGCTAGGGCTGCACGGTATACGGTAGATGGTAGAAACGGTATGAAGTTGGCCTACGGTAGAAATTTATACTCTATCGTCCTGTCGTCATTACGTCATCGCACCTGTGTGAACAGGGCTGCGAGTGCAGAGATAACTAAGCAGGAGGAGTTTGAAATATAATGAAGAAATTCTAGCGTTTTTTAAAACACGTAGAGAGAATTTCGGCCTACCGCTGTAGAAAAGTTACGTCGTGTCGCGAGATCATTTCCTCCCTTCCTGTCCTCTCGCTGCACATCCCGCAGAGCGAAGCTTTAACAACTGTAGTTTTTCACACCCAATTGTCGTAGAAAAAAATGTTTTTATGTACTTTTACCCACAGAGATTATTTTTAAAAAAGACGTGGATGTTCGTTCAGTAATAAATCCATCTTGCTAATGTAAAGTCGGCTTCTGCTCTGATGATGGAGGTGAGCGTGCAGCAGAGCAGCAGCTGATAAGTTCAGCAGGCAGAAGCTCATTGTATGGCAGGCTGATATTAAAGCAAAAATGTTGGGTTTAATTAAGATTACAGTTTTCTGCAAAAAAAAGGTCTAAAAATTACATTATCTTAACTTTTTAAGATAATTTTCTACCACGATATAAACCGTTACCGTGAAGGGGTTCAATTTATACCGTGATATGTATTTGAGGTCATACCGCCCAGCCCTACATAGAAGAATATATTCTTCCCATAAAACATGATCATTTCTGGCTAAAAATGACCTTTTGTTGATTTTTTTTAGTTTTCTGCAAAATAAATGCTCTAAAAATTAC